TCGACATAGTGTTAGGAATGGATTGGGGAGAGGCAGCAGGGGCCACACTCCACTTGAGAGAACATGAGTGTAGGCTCCCTAGTCCATCAGGCGAGACTGCCCGCCTATTTCATGTGTCAGGTGTAGACAACACTCATGCACATTGTTGTCTTAGTGCTCCCACGTTCGTGCGACTAGTGAAAAAGGAGCAGTTAGAGGACCAGGTCTTTGTAGTATATGTTCGACCTGTTACTGAGCCTAAGGAAGGAGATAGTTCCACGTATCCAACCATTGCCAAGCTGCTGGAGGAGTTCAAGGATTTGACCCAGTCGCCGACAGGAGTAGTGCCGCGACCCATCCAGCACAGGATAGAGATAGAGCCTGGCAGTAGAACTCCTAAGGGAGCAGTCTACAGGATGTCCCCTAGAGAGTTAGAGGAGCTACGCAAGCAGTTAGACGAGCTCCTCGAGAAAGGTTGGATCAGGCCCAGTTCGTGTCCTTTTGGACCACCTGTCCTGTTTGTCCCCAAGAGGGAAGGAGAGCTGAGAATGTGTATAAACTATAGGGGTTTGAATGTGATTACTGTGAAGAATGCTGAGCCGCTGCCCAGGATAGACGATCTTCTAGATCGGGTGTAAGGTTGCAAGTATTTTTCTAAGATAGATTTGAAGTCCGGATATCATCAGATAGAAGTCCATCCTGATGACCAGTATAAGACTGTGTTCCGGACTAGATATGGCCACTACGAGTTTATAGTGATGCCCTTTGGACTGACCAACGCTCCAGCCACATTTCAACGTTGTATGAATGATCTTTTTAGACCTTGGTTAGACAAGTTTGTAGTAGTTTATCTAGATGATATCTTAGTTTTCAGCAGGACACTCCAAGAGCATCATGGTCATTTGAGGCAGGTCTTGGAGAAGCTGAGAGAGGCTAACTTCAAGATTAACGCGAAGAAGTGCAAGTGGGCCAAGACGCAAGTCCTATACTTGGGCCACGTATTAGACGAAGATGGCATCAAGCCAGAGGACAACAAGATAGCGGCAATTAGAGATTGTCCGACGCCCCGCATATTGACAGAGTTGCGGTCGTTTCTAGGCCTAGCTAACTATTATCGAAAGTTCGTGAGGAACATCTCTACCATCGCCGCTCTCTTGCGCAGGTTGCTAAAGAAAGAAGCAATCTGGCAATGGGATAAAGACTGTACGTCTGCGATAAAGAGATTAAAGCGCAAGTTAATAGAATATCCTGTCCTCAAAGTTGCAGATCCGTCTTTGCCATGTCGTCACCACGGACGCGAGTTAGTACGGGATAGGTGTCGTGTTACAGCAAGATGACAACAATGGCTATAGACCCGTAGAGTTCATGTCAGTGAGGATGCCCTCAGAGAAGGTTGCTACCTCGACGTACGAGAGAGAACTCTACGCTCTCAGGCAGGCCTTAGAGCATTGGAAGCATTACCTGCTTGGGAGGCTCTTCAAAGTATACTCAGACCACGAAACTCTTAGATGGTTAAAGACCCAGGCCAAGATGACACCTAAGCTAACTAGGTGGGCCGCTGAGATAGACCAGTATGACTTTGAGCTCAAACCCGTCAAAGGCAATTACAACGTAGTTGCGGATGCTCTAAGTAGGAGATCAGACTACTTTGGAGCTATAGTGCACTATCTGGACATAGGAAAGGACCTGCAAGAGAAAGTTCGATTGGCGTATGCGCAGGACCCTATCTACAGTGACCTCCTCAAGAGGGTTAAGGAGGCCCCAGAGACTGAGCCAGACTACCGCACTACAAAGGGTTTACTGTTTGAGAAGACAAATGTATTCGACCGCCTATGCGTTCCCAACAGTGAGGAGATCCACAGTCTCATCTTAGGGGAATGCCACGATACAGAGGGACATTTTGGTTGGCAAAAGACTTTGGCCAATCTTATGCACGCGAATACCTCGCCAGGAATGAAGAATGACTGCATAGGGTATATCCGCAGTTGTAAGGTCTGCCAGAGAAACAAGACCACTACGCGTGCCCCTGTAGGTCTTCTCAAACCTTTGCCCATTCCTGATCAGTCGGGAGACTCAGTATCCATAGACTTCATGGATACTCAGGTCAAGAGTAGACATTGTAAGAGCCAAGTCATGGTCATAGTCGACCGATTTAGCAAGTATGCCGTTTTCGTTCCTTCACCTGCAGAGGCACGTACAGAGTTAGTAATACAAAAGTTTTTCGATTTTTGGGTTAGTGAGAACGGAGTCCCATGATCCATAGTTAGCGATAGAGATAATGGTGAAAATTGCTAGTGTTATCTGGCCGCCATCCAGAGACCAACGGTCAGACCAAGCAAATGAACAAGATCCTACAGCAAGTTCTGCGCATGTACATTAGGCCCGATCAGATTAACTGGGACGAGATGTTACCTAAGGTAGCTGGTGCATACAATAACAGTGTGCATCTGTCCACCTGTCGCACTCCCAACGAGCTGCACGCGTCCTTAAGACCGTGCAGACATTCGAAGGACTGAACCGGGATCAAATTCACAGGCTACCGCCCGGGACCAGGGAGTTTGCGATACAGCACGAGAGAGAGCTAGCTACAGTTGTTGAGAACCTCAGGAAGGCCCAGCACAGAAAGATAGAGCAGGCAAACAAGCACCGTCGCCCGTCTCAGTTTCAAGTAGGCGACTTAGTCTGGGTCAAGTCCAAAGAGTTTGCCCCTGAGGAAAACATCTCACAGAAGTTACTGCCTGCGTACAGAGGACCGTGGCCAGTTCTAGAAGTCAAGGCCGGAGAGGATGGACCGTCCTATACTATAGAGATTCCAGCACACCTCCACACTTACCCTGTATTCCATGCCTCAAAGCTGTTGCCGTGTGTCACAAGTCAACAGTTCCCTTCAAGACGACCCATGATACCTCCGGATATGGATGGCAGGTATGACATTGACGGCTTTGTAGATGAAGATGTGTTCAGGACAGGAGGTCGAGGTCGTCCCCAGAAACAGTATAAGGTCCGGTTTGCTTCTCAGGAACCGGAAGATGACCGCTGGTTTACAAGGACAGAACTTCTACAAAGAGCTCCCGACATAGTCAGAGCCTATGAGCGTGATAAGAAGGGTAAAGGTCCTGCCTTGGACTGAAATATTCTCGGAGGACCTCGAATTTAGGACAGCGGGAGTGAAACGGTTTTCACCTTTTGCAGTAGCAGATGCAGATCCCAGGGCTTGATCCCTAGTCCCTACCCCCACCGTGTACAGTACCCGTGTAGGCCCCGAGAGTTGAACCCGTGACCTGTGTACTAGTAAGCAATTGGTAGGCTGTCATAGGTCCGTAGGTAGCAGGGGATCGATCTGTAGATCTGTAGAATAGAAGTCTTAGCAAGTTCCAGAAGTCTTAGCTGTAGTCCTTCTAGAAGGTCAGCAAGTGGGCAAGTGGGCAAGTGGGCAAGTGGTGAGTCAAGTGGTGGACTAAACTGCAGTGCAATTGCAGTACGACTTCAGTAGGTTAGCAGTGAGTTCCCATTCAGTCAGCGGTAAGGTCCAGTCAGTCCCAGTCCGGTCCAGCAAGTACCACGAGGGACTGTGAGCCCCATGGGCCGATGGAAGAGGGCAGACCAACGAGTTTCAGAAGTATAAATCAAGAGGCAGCGCCCAGCCATTCATTCATTCCTGCGTGAGCCATAAGGAAGCGCTGCCACAGCGACTTGTGCAAGGAGGTCTGCAGTGAGCCCGGAGCCGAAGTGGGCGAGAGAGAAGGAGCGTAGCATAGCGATAGGGTAGTTGCGGCCATAGCCGCCATAGCTGTAGTGAGTGTTCAGTGTGTGTGNGAAGGAGCGTAGCATAGCGATAGGGTAGTTGCGGCCATAGCCGCCATAGCTGTAGTGAGTGTTCAGTGTGTGTGCGTGTGAGTGTTCAGAGAGACACGTGTGGGATATCCAGGGTGACGCGGTGTATGCGAACAGAGAGTTGTTTGGGCACTGAGTCGCCATAGCCATTGAAAGTGAACTCTTATCTGGGTTGCCATATCTCTGAGTTTTGAGTGGGTGCATGTCGCCAGTTTGCTGCGCTACTGTTTGCATGCATGAAAAGTGTGAATGAAAGCGAGTCTGATTGCAGGCATTGTCTTTCCTTGTGAATGCGCACTTTGGAAATGACCAGGATCGTAACACTTTTTTCTTTGGAGATCTGTTTGTTGCTTTGGCTGCTGCGCAACGAGGTGTTGTCGAAGAGTCGGGTTGTTTGGGAATGCAGGCCCAATTGGGTGGTAAGTCCCATCCAAGGCGAAATATGTGTGAGGGACCGATAACGAACAAGTACCGCAAGGGAAGGGTGAAAAGAACTTTGAAAAGAGAGTTAAGGAGTGCCTGAAATTGCCGAGCAAGAAGCTGATGTAGGGGAACCGTGCATCCATCTGGGCAGGGGCGGACAGCGACTGCGGCGTCGTCCTTCTTGTTGGGTGTTGGGTCCCTGCCAGCATGGGCTGCTGTGACCGGCATTGCAGTGGGGAGTGACACGGCAGTCGAGGACCTTGAGCACACGCCTATTTTGGCGGGCCCGTCCGGGTTCCTGTGTATTCGGGATCCTGGCGAAGCTCCTCTCTCCTGCCTATCTTGAAACACGGACCCAGGAGTTCAACATGCATGCGAGCAGGTGGGTGCTTAGCCCACGTGACGGAAACCCTCTGAGGGTGCACCACCAACCACAATCTGCTGTGAGAGGTTTGGGTGTGAGCATGCCTGCTGGGACCTGAGAAAAGATGGTCAACCATGCCTGAGAAGGGCGAGGCCAGACGAAACTGTGGTGAAGGCTCGCAGCGATAGTGACATGCAAACGTTCATCGGACTTGGGTATGTCTTTTGGTTTTCGTACACAAATCTTCCGTTTCTTTCTTTCTTTTGTTTCGTTCTTTCTTTCTTCTTCTTTTCTTTTTCTATCCCCGGAGAACTTTGAAGTTTTAAGTTTGAACCCAACCAACTGTTGAAGTTTGAAGTCTGAACCCAACAAACCGTTTGTCTGTAAACGTGTGAGGCAGGCCTTGTCAGCAGACATTAGGGCAATGAAGAAAGTGATGATGGAGATCAACGACTATGATTTCAAGTTGGGAGAGGGGACCGATGAGATGATGCCTCTTCCAACGACACAGACTGCTGCTTATGTGAAGGTGAGACTGCTGTTTCCTTTTGTTTGGGGGGGATGGGGTAAGTTCTATTTAATGGCATCCTCCACAGATAAACCACCCACAATGCGAGGTATCTGTTCAATTACTTCCGCTAGTACTTGGATATCAATGTCGATTTAAGTTTGTTTCCAATACGATTCTATAATTTTCAACTTCAATTTTCAAAAATGTTTACCAATTCAAACCATGGTCACCATCCAGAGTTCTGAACGGCCATGGATTTGGATGTCCAGGTCTCGTGTGTCGGTGTGGTGGCCTGGATGGGCAACACGTATGGAAATTTGAAAAGTCAAGAGGCCAGCCCTTGGGACTGTCCATTGGGTCCCTGGCCACCCCCCCATCCTGAACTGTTTCATGAATTTAGGGGGGTCTGTTTCCCAAAACTATGGTTTGAACCTTTGCCCATCCGGTTTTTGGATTCATAATGAACAGGATGGGGAAAGGTTCACAGATCTGCTTCGCCTGTGTGTGTGTGTGTGTGTGCGCGCGCGCGCGCATGTCTGTGTTGTGTGTGTGTGTGTGTATGTGCATGCGTGTGTGTGCACGCGCATGCGCGTCACAGAGAGAGAGAGAGAGAGAGAGAGAGAGAGAGAGAGAGAGAGAGAGAGAGAGAGAGAGAGAGAGAGAGAGAGAGAGAGAGAGAGTACAATTTTCCTCACAATTGGAATGGTGATTTGTTGGACAAAAAAAAAAGGGAGGTGATTTGCTATTTTATTTCCTGCCTCTGTTATTTCTTCTGTCTTCTCAGCTGAGAAATCTACCTCTTTTTTTTGTGTGTGGTTCTCTCCCCTGACTCTCTCCCCCCCATTTCTTGTCTGCCTCTGTCACATTGTGTTTCTCCTCTCCTGTCCTCTTTCCCTCTTTCTCAGTGTCCTTTACTTCCCTCATCTCTCTCTCTCTCTCTCTCTCTCTCTCTCTCTCTCTCTCTCTCTCTCTCTNTCTCTCTCTCTCTCTCTCTCTCTCTCTCTCTCTCTCTCTCTCTCTCTCTCTCTCTCTCTCTCTCTCTCTCTCTCTCTCTCTCTTGTGGTTCTCTCATCTCCTCTTTCTATCTCTCTGTTCCTCATTCGCATTTGTTGGTGTTTGGCCTCCTTTACTCCCTGCAGTATATTCTGTTGATTGGTAAACAGGGTTGTGAAGTGGATAACATCAAGGCAGAGAAGGCGCAGCATCGGCTTCTTGCACACATTTTCGCTGTCCACGTTGCTCACTTAACAACAGGTAGGGGTACGCAAAGCTGAGTTTACGAAAGTTAAAAATGGCAAAAGTAAAGTAGAAGGCAAGAATGAGGTTCATCAGGATATGGTTGATAAACGGGAAAGTAGCAGATTTACGAGATGATTGTATCCGCTGGAAGGATTGGCACAACTCAAACCCAGGAAGAAGCATCCGGCAGCAGCTAGCAGCACAAGGGCAAGACACCTCCTGAGCAGAGCCCTAAAGAGAAAACGACGAACCTATACCATTTCATTCGAGGAGGTACGGCACGGGAATGGAACGGTGGCACCGGAAGGTGGGGGCAGAGAGGAAAGGTTGTTCCAGAGGAAGTTTGAGGAACAACACAAGGGGGACAGGCTCCCGTATTACGCAAAGGAAACAGAAATACAGTCCTACTCCCAGCCCAGAAGGGACAGTGAGGTTCACTGGTTAAGGGTTTAGGGGCTAGGGTTTTAGTATCATTTACAAGAAAGGGGAAGGTGTAATGGGAGAAGGGACATACTGACTAAAGGGCACGACTGAGGAGGGGAAAAGCACAGGCAGGCAGATTATAATGGGCGAGCTCTTTCCAGGTAACATAGCTGTATCAGGCAGAGCCTGTTTTATAAGGTCTGAGAGGAAGGAGTGAGTCATGGCAAGCTGGCAGTCAGTCCTCCACCTACAGGGGAGCAATCAATGCTGTCCAGGGATCCTCCGGCCGAACGGGAGGAAGCGTGAGGGGTTCTGTGGCAATGTAATGTATTTTCTGACTTGCCGGTGGAATAGGAACCGGACTGTCGCTCCCCAGAATAGAAGGAGCCAGGACCATAAGGCTCTGTTTTTGGGAAAAAAAAATAAATGGCGAAAGTAAAGTTCATGTCACCGGCAGTCAATCCTTCTCGTCCGGAAAGTTATGAATGCTGTCAAGGTTCTCTGCGCCATAACACAGGGAAGCGTGCTGTCGAGTTGTATTCATTCTCGAGTTGTCGCGGGAAAACGAATTAGACTGCAGCTCCCCAGAATATAAGGAGCCAAGTTTCCTCAAAGGAAAAAAAAGAAAAAAAAGTTCATGTCACTGTACATTACAGGAGCATCATACTTGCGGCGCACCGTGGTGCGCGCCTAAGCGCACGAGTTGCGCACGCAGCGCCCCGCACCCGGTGCGGCGCACCCAAATAAATAGGGTCGCAAAAAAAAAAAAAAATGGGGGGTGGGGTTTGAGTACGGTGCCCGCTCGGCCTCCCAAAATTGAAAAAGAGGCCGCGCCGGCTTCGAAACCGGCCCCGCCCGTGGCCCAAAGTTTTTTTTGGGGGGAAAGGTCTGCAGAATTCGAATTCGAATTCTGCAGGCCTTCACCCCAAAAAACAAACAATTCGGGCCACGGGCGGGGCCGGTTTCGAAGTCGGCGCTGCCCGTTCGTGTGCAGTTCGTGACGGCCGACCAACAACGACGAGGGAGGGAGGAGCCGACGAGGACGACGACGGGGGGAGGGCCACTTTTTCTCGGAAGGAGGGAGGACGACGACAAGGGAAGAAGGGACGACAATGACGAGGGGAGACGACGACGAACGACGACGAGGACGACGAAGGACGGATGAGGGACATCATTGGAAGGAAGACTAGGGTTGACAAAGGAGGAAGGAAGGACCAGGGAGGACGACGACGAGGAGGGAAGAGGGAGGAAAGAGGAGGGAGGACGGAGGAGGGAGGAGGGAGGGTCGAGAAAGCTAGGGCAGGAGGCAGCGGCAGCGGCAGCGGCAGCGGCAGCAGTCAGTGGCGGGTGGTCGCGGCAGGAGGCAGCGAGTAACCAGGGCTGTGGGTACCACCAGCTCTCTCTCTCTCTCTCTCTCTCTCTCTCTCTCTCTCTCTCTCTCTCTCTCTCTCTCCCTCCATATCCTCCTAATCCTCCACTTCTCTCCTCATATCGTCCTCGTGCTCGTCATCGTCGTCGTCCTGCTCCTCCTCCTCCTCCTTCCTCCTCCTCCTCCTCCTTCCTCCTCCTCCTCTAACGTGAACATGCCACGTGGCACTTTTATTTTTTGTTTTTGCCTAAGCAGCTACTTCTCCTGCGCCTCCTCCTCCTCTTCCTCCTCATCTGCTTCATCCATATCTCCCTCCTCCTCCTCCTCCTCCTCGTCCTCCTCCTCCTCCGCCACACCCTTATCGGAAGTTTATCCTACTCCTCCTCGCCCTCCACATCTTCTGTCGTGTCCTCCTCCTCCGCCGCCCTACCTTTGTCCTCCTCCTCCTCCTCCTCCTCCTCCTCCTCCCCCTCTTCCTCCCCCTCCTCTTTATCTTCTTCCTCCTCCTCCCCCTCCTCATCCTCCTCTTAAAGTGCGACGAGGCACGCTGTTTTTTTTTCTCTTTTCTTTTTGTTCGGGCAGTTCTCCTCCTTCTCCGCCTCCTCCTACTCCTACTCCTCAT